CAGTGGTACTTCGCCGCCTCAAAAGACATAATTGTATTACTGAAAAGTTTACTTTATTCCCCTCGGGTCAGAGCGCTTGTGTAAACAACCCATGCAAGAACAACGCCACTTGTCAAAGCGGTTTTACCGACAAAGGATATCACTGTTTGTGTACTGCTGGATTTAAGAGCTTGACATGTGATGAAGGTGAAACGTTCTCTTATTATCTATCTTACCTGGTGCTATACTACCTCTACGTTTACGTGTATGGGCAGAAATGTTAAGAATACCCTTTCTTCCCCCTGAATGCATCCTCTTCTGCCTTTCAGATACAGATGAATGTGCTATCGGTACATATTTTTATGCGCTATCTATATATTTTTCGACTGCTTCTTATTTTTAAATGAGAAACAAGAATATCAAGCAATTTCATTCCTCAATAGGACGTTAACAATTTTCTTCGATTAACTTTTGGAATACCTTTTCAGATATCGATGAATGTACTATTGGAAATCACGACTGTGGTACCAATGCCGTGTGCAACAACACCAAGGGATCGTACAATTGCACATGCATAACTGATTATTTGGGAGATGGAAAGAAATGCATTAGAAAGGGTGACCCTTTATGCAAGATACACCTTAGCTCCACCTTTTTAATTATTTATTAAGTCTATAAGCGTAAAAAATCACTGTCACTTTCACTTATATATAGTTTCCAAAGACGGACGTTATCATGATTATCAAAAAATTGCAGACTAAAGCTAGCGAGGCGAACGAGTGATATGGAGTATAATAAAATCAGATTAGGACAAGAAAGTTCATTCAAATCCACTGCCATTTTAAACAAAATACTGTAGTTGGTGAAGCTACAGTACCAACAACTGTCCAAAGCCAGTGTAAGAGGTGTCACTTTTATTTGTTTGCAAAAAAGCTTATGTATATGTCTATTTATATGTCTATTTTTTCTTTCTCTTTTACTATTGTCTTACAAATTTGGACATTTAGTTTCTACGTGCAAGGAAGTTTATGACAGGAACACGTGAGTAAATGTTTGATTTAAGATAACACTTATATCATTGTAAAATCAGACAATTAACTTATAGAAGTAAACTGATAAGATATTAAACGACTGTGAATATATGAAAGTCATATATATTTGAACTGCAGATAAAGGCATGAATATGAAAGAGATCTTCGCACTTATGAGCACTACTTGAGCAGTAGTGAAAACAAGGTCTGCTAAGATATTTTTATTAGCTTTTTTCATTGTGAAAAACTCTTTTTTGGGGGAAGTTTTATTTTTATTCCTTTTCGGTCAACTTTTGGCAGGGGTATAAATATCGAGCAAAATATTTTTTCTTTTTAAATTTGCTTTCAATAGTGTGGTTTGATATATCAATGAGTATGGAAGAAAAAGATTGTAAAAAAAGAAAAAAAGATTGATGTCGCTTGTCAATTGTCCCCGACGTTTCGTCCATTATTGGCAAAACGTTAAAATTCATATATAAACTTTATTGTACTTCGTGTACTAGAGAACGACATCTCTCGAGTTTAATATCAGTGGTATAATTTCAGTTTTATTAATATCTCACGTGCAAGTACATTCGACAACACAATTTTTTTCAACAGATCAACTGTGGATAAACTGGTGACATTGCACATTGATTCAAAACCAATTTCCGTGTTCTGTCATATGAAAATCGATGGATGTGGCAATGGAGGATGGACGCCACTCATGAAAATCGATGGTGATAAGGTCTTGTTCCTTTTTCATATGTCTATTATTATTTTATAAAACGGCTCGTTTTCTTCCTCGTTCGACACATTCATAAAAATTTACCCCATAGCCAGTACCTTCAACATACAGCTAGAGTTGACTATGCCCATTTCGTTTAATTCGCCTTTTTAAGCTCATTAATTATCTATTAATTTATTTGTTTTTTTAAACGTATTTACTTAAGGACACCTTCCACTTTGGCTCACACTACTGGACTGATAAGAACGAATACAGCCCCTTTGGCGGACAGACTGCGTTTGATAGGCAAGAGACCAAGTTATCGACTTACTGGAACACGCCCTTCTCTAAGATCTGTCTCGGTATGAAGATCGACCAACAGCTCAAGTTCATCGTCATCAAAAAAAAGGCCGACTCTCTATACTCGCTGATTGCGGACGAAATATATCGAAGCACATCACTGGGTCGCGGGAAATGGAAGGCGTTGATTGGTTCGAAGGGTTCCTTACAACTCCATTGTAACAAGGAAGGCTTTAATGCTGTCTCTGATGAACGTCATTCTAGAGCTAGAATTGGAATACTTGGTAACAATGAAAATGAGTGCAATACTTGTGATTCCAGAATTGGGTTTGGTACTGGGGGTGATCCTGATAACTCTATAACATGTGGAAATGCAGCCTCATGGCTTTATGGGTCGGATAATGGAAAAAGTGATATCAAAACAATGGGGTACATCTTAGTGCAGTAGAAAGCACTACTCGGGAAAGATACCACGTGCACGAAACGATAAAATGGTGTTACTGGAACCTTAAACGGCCGGGAATCATTATCAGGGCAATTAAATTGCACATGAATGAATAGGTGGATGGACATATCAGGACGAGTACGTAAATAAAAGTCGAAAAAAAGGAATCAGTCATTACATAAGTACCCTGAATGTCTAACTTTAAGAATCAAGTTATAAGATACTTTGAGATTTAATGATTTTTCCTATAATCAGCAATGAGATGCAGATCTTTTAAAATGAGATATTTGACCAAATTTGATAATTGCAAATGAATGAATAGGAGAATGGACAGATCTGGACGAGTACGTAAATAAAAGTCGACGAAAATGAATCAGTCATGACATAAATACCCGAGTGTCTAACTTTAAGAATCAAGTTATAAGATAATTTGGGATTTAATGATTTTTCCTTTAATCAGCAATGAGATGTAGATCTTTTAAAATGAGATATTTGATCAAATTTGATATCAAGCTTTAGGTGTAGCATGTCTAATATTAAAATTCACTTTATTGGAGTTTTGGTTGCCCAAAACTTGAGGTATACTGTGCTTTAAAGTTCTTTGTTATATTGGCGAAGCTTACTAACATATTAATTATATCGGCGAAGCCTACCGACATGTTAATTCCATGATAATCTAAATTCATAATTAGTTCATAGAATGGAAGGAATATTTAGACATTTTTTAAATGACTCTTGGATTATAAGACAGTAGGTAAGCTGAGAATCGCAAACAGCTTACAGAATATCACTCGAAATACCAGCGCAAAAAGAAATTACACCATCTCAAGAAATTTTTTGTCTTCCTTTGAATCTACTGCGAATTTGAACACACAGGGCATTTCTTTTCAATTCTAGATACTGCAAGTGAGGGAAACAGGAAATCGCGATAAGCTTTAACCAGTTATTTGCCAGTTTGTCACAGTTTCCATTAATATTGACAAGTTACCGCTATTCAATGTCACAGGTCATTTTTGCTTCATGTTGAGTTATCTCTTAAGATAATTAAGGAAACCTTGCTATAATGATTCTTAGAAAATGGGTAAAACCGCTGAAAGAGTCTCAATGCGGCGATGACTTTTACAGCTAAGGGTTAAACTTTTGGCCATTTTACGGCTAACAGTTAATATAGTTCCATTGCTGTCAATACAATTTTCTTCAGCGGTTCACATATTTAAAAAACTATTTAAAGACTACTGGTTAAACAATTTCTTTTTACGCCCAACGTTTTAATATGTTGGCCGTTTTACGGCAAACGGTTAACACCATTCAGATCCTCCTGTGAAGAACGACTTTAATTAACGACGGCGAAGATTCACATGGATTGCACATCACAATATCCTTCAAAAAAGTTAGCGATAATTCGTTACCTTTCCAGCAAAAAAACAAAAACAAACTAAAACCAAGCCAAAACAAAACAAAAAGACAAAGCAGGAAATATTAAGAAAGGAAAAAAAAAAAATTTAGTGATGTATTTTTCATGGATCCTGTATTCCAATAGCAGCAACAGCTATAAGAACCTCTTTTCAAGAGGCAATAAAATAAAAAATAATCTATGTCAAAACTCAAGAAATTTCCGGTCATTTTCTGATAGAGACCATATATCCATTAACCTATTGTTGTTTTAATGAAAATGTGAGAATCCTCTATCTGTTTTGTCTCAGCAGGACTGTTATTTCTTTCTACTCCAGACCGAGCATAACCTGTCATGCTTTTATAAACAAACCATTCAGATATTCAAAAATAATTGAATAGACTTTGTCACTTCTAGTTTTATTCAATCTTCTCCAAGGTTGATATTCGTGGCAGGTTTTATGATATGACATTTGAGGGGCATAGAAATTCCCACAAGGAAGCGAAGTCACCAAATTTTCACGTATTTGACGCCACTCTATGGAAAATTTAGAACAATTATTTAGGAAACTCTGACCGCAATATGCACTCATTTATTATGCTAAAAAGAGCACCAGATAGTATGCGTCGAATAGATCATTATGTATGCAGGTTAGATTTTCATAATCAGAGTCTTGCCTGCGTGAACGAAAGCCGTTTCTCACAAATATAAAATCTATATATGAAACATATAAAATATCATATCGCTTAGAAGAAACTGCAATCGAGGCCTTTCGCGTGATAATAGCTGAAACAATAAACACTAAATAAATCATGATTGACGAAAACTGTGACACCGTAACTATGATACTACAGGTTAAGAATGACGTACAAATGACAGGGGTATATTTCGTTAAGCAAAAGTAAATGAATCGAATAAGTGCTGAACAATTTGGCTATGGATACCGTTTTTATCTGCGTTCTTTTGATGAAACTTTGCGTCATGAACCTCAGGGCTGTTGAATCACAGGGTTAGTATCGAAAAAACTCATATTACGTCTTAACAATGTAGCGCTTTTCCTGTTGTTGGCATATGGACCTAAGTTATGACTCTGGCTTTGTTTTTGTGTTTGTTTTGGTTTTTTTATTCGTTTAACGAGATGTTTAAGTACAATTCTTTCGAAATAATTTACTACGATGGCGCCCATCCTATGAAACTTTTGCAGCTATCTGCATCGATCCTGTGGAATTTTTGCAGCTATCTGTCTGCATCGATCCAATATACTTTCGCGGTTTAAGTCCCTAGATCGACTTCGATAGGTAATCTTCCCCCTATTGCCCAATGTTCTGTCATCAACGATTTAGATGCTATTGAAAGAGTAAATAGACAACCCTTTTTCAGTCGGATTAAGTGAAGAGAAGCTGTTTTTGCGACTTTTGGGACTTAAAACGATGAAGTCCCTGTTTTTGACTTATCGTTAAGGTTGCGCAACCGATATTCAGCCCGCGAGTCTTGAAGACGTTTTAAGGATTTTTCCTCTTAATGCCGAAATAAAATCTTGAAACGTTGCAGCAGATTAGGCTCATTTTGAGGAAACTGCACAGTTTACCGACTAAAACTATTTTGGAACAGCGCTAAGTCTGGAAGGGCTGCTTTACAACTGCTCTGAAATTACTTCTACCCCATAACGTAGTTTTCCGATATCAATTTTACGGAACTTTACCTTACCCCGAAAGATTCAATTAATTAATTTGGGATTGTGTGCAGTGTCGGTCCTAGTATTCCATCACCTACGTTCCAGCACGTCAAAGATGGCATGAAAAAGCAACCTCCTAGCGCTCAAAAAGCGTATTGCATTGTCTCTCTCGTCGTTAATTATTTCAATGCGGGCGGTAAACATCTATCCGCTTCTAGAGCCGAAATAAACGTTATGTTTAATTGAGAGTGAAAAGAGACGTTTCCAAATTTAACCTGCGCAGTATGAGCAGAACTCTGAACTCTGCCATGTAAAGGGTTGTGAGAGATGATTTCTTTATAAATAGATGTAAGATTCATATTTTATCGTTGTAAATCTAAAACACATTACTGAAACCCTTTATCTCTTAAGAATACTGTGATGCGGACCAATGCCGTCATTTGGAGT